TCATAAAGAGTTACACATAAAAAGGTTGATAGAATGAGAGTTAAAGATGCAGATTTATGGATAAATACCTAGTCAATATTATATTGTGTAGTCAATCCTTAAAATTCACTGCGTTCAAAAAAATATCAGTAGAAAATAAGGAACATACCAGTCAGGAAACACTGCTGTGTGGGAATGTGTCTGCTTTGGCCGCATCTAAACTAGATTATACTAGATTAAAGCAACCCCATGTTTTCCTGGAACTCCAAGATGGCTTCAAACATCACTGGATCACAGGACTTTGGAAAACCTAATTTTAACGCTAATGCAAGGATGGCTACACTTAATATCTGTCACAGTGATCCGGTAACATGTATTGGATCTTCTTTACAATGTTTCTGAACAACCTGCTGAATTTCCTTATAAATATGTAAGATTTTTCTCATTTTCTCCACGAGGTACAGCCTTATGTGAAGGTAGAAACACCAACATGACAGCATACAGGGGAAGTGTGTCTCTGTACAGAGTACTACACACCAGATTATGCTGCTTTGTGCAGTAAGTTTACCCCGGCGTAGTCTTCCATATGCAGAAGAATTGGGCATACAAAATACAAACTGAGTCGTTTTTAGTGATCACTCAGACCTGATCGACAAATTCTCAAAAGCCTGAATTTGTTTCTTATTTTAAATCAATGTTATGAAACCTATTAGTTGTTGCTAATGTTTCATCTGCCTCTTCCTCGCTAAACATAGTGCCATATATCTTTATAAATATATTGTGAAGGTCCCTCCAGTACCCAGCTACAGTCTGGCACATTTTTAATGCTGTGTTGCTACTTTAGGACAGAGTAAAGGAAGCTTTAGCCACCCATCTAAGACATAAGTTTGAAAATCAGGTTTTGGTAAATGGTGTAAAAAGCCATTGACGTTAAACTCTAAAAATCAACACTAAACAGTGGAAACCTCTGGTGTGAGCCATCCAACACCTACAAGACAGCCTTGACTCTCATCCCCAGGCAGTTTCACAACCTTTCACACTTTGAAACATGGGACCACAACATCCCCCATTGCTGGTCAGGTTGATAAACAACTCAAGGGTGATAACAACCAAAACAACCGTAAAGACTGGTACGAGGGTGGGTGGGTCTCACATGTGACTTTAACAACTTGCAAAGTGGTGAAGCCCCAACAACACTTCAATCCCCAGAACTCAGAACTGAGGAAGCAGATAAGAAACCGATATAAATAAAGGTGCATTTAAAGAGTTAATAAAATTTACATATGCTAGCTTTCAATTGCCTTCATTTCTATATTTCTGTTGCAAGGGGATCTTCTGCTGAAAGCCAATCCCAACCAGAACTTTCAATTTTATTCAATACCAGCTTTCAAATGCCTGCAGTATGACTGTGTTTTTGCTCTATGAGGGGTTTTAGACATGATTGCTAAAACTAGGCATCCTCAGTCAGACAAAGGAATACAATCACCTTATGGCCTCCACACATGACCTCAGACTGCCACTGTTGCTGCCCTGAATTTGGTTCACAGACTGAGTATTATCGTTTCCTGCCATCAGTCTGACTGCATACATATTCTCCTCACCTTAGTTTCCGCTTCTACCTCCCTTAACCCTTCATCGTCACCCCCAAAAGCCTGACACAGACAGCGCTATCCGCCAACACCATCCCGCATGCCTCACCATGCTTCAGCAACGCTCAGGAAAACAGCAGAATATACGAGAGTCGGCCTTCAGGGAGAACGAGTTTGAGGGCGGGAAGGAGGAGTGGGATTGAATGGGGAAGCAATAAACGGAAGGATGGGGAGAGGGCAACTTTGGGATGGGAGCCAATCCAATTACAAGAAGCGGTGCAATCCTAGTTTCTCTGGCGGCACTAAATTCACATTTCAGTGGTCTCCTTCGCTTTCCCTCCCCCAATGCCTTCTTCCTTTCTCCATCACTGCTTCTTTCTGCTACTTATTTCTATACATATATATATAAATATTTATAAGTATATTTGTATATTTTAGGTCAAACTCCTGTCACACTACTCCTTTTCCCCAGCTGCATTACTTTCTTGGTTGCATGAAAGCATGTATAGGATTGTGTCACCAGCAAAGCATCAAAGCTTGCCACCCAAGCTGTGTCATGCTCAGATCAGCAGGAAGCCTGAAGCATCCTACTTCATCTGTGTCTCTCACAATGCTCTGCATCATCCTTCTGCGAAAAGGCTGCAACCAAAGATCACCACATACATCACCCCTGCCTCTGGAGACAAAGGCAGTGAATGGATAATCCTCAAAGCATAAAAAAACACTTCGGGCACAAAGGCACACTCTGCCATTATGCAAACTTCTTGATTTTTACATAACTATTCAAACAGAGATGCACCAATCAATTGACCAGATCAGTTTTTTGTTGATTTGCTCTGTGAAAATGAAAAAATAAAAATAAATAAAAAACTGATGTTTTTCTTACTCATTGAGTGCATCAACCAACTGCAAGCAGTATGTTGCAATTTTTAATTAAAATAGACAGAGGTTTATAATTTAACAATGCATAAGTGGGAGTTAGTTATGCAAGTCCTTAAGTTTCTGTTGGTGACAAAGTTAATACCTTTATCCTTGCAGCACATTTTTCCTTTGTTGTGTTGCACTGTTTAAAACAAAAAGAAGAATTCACAATCCGTCAAATTTGGAAACAGCCGGTCAAATCTCAAAGAAAACCAGGAATTAAGATCACCACATACATCACCCCTGCCTCTGGAGACAAAGGCAGTCAAAGGCAGTTTAAAAAGTAAACCTTTATTTGTTCATGCTGCCACATAAAACCACACAGAGGAAGGCTGGTTATGGTAATCCTTTTTTTTTTCATGCACATCAGGAGAACAGTCAGAACTGGTCAAAGCACAAGCTTCCATGCAAATAATGGCTTCACCTTGACCAAGATTCTACCTGCATGAAAATGAGGCTGGTGCAGTTGCTTTTCTAGTCAAATGTAAAAGCAAGTTAGATTCAGAGAATGGGGATAGTTCAATGAATAACAAGCCTTTGGATCTTAAGCGATGAGAGTGCAGTTCAATTTCTTAACAATTTAACACTCTCCTGTGCACAGCTTAGAAAAAAATATATATTTTGTACTACAAGCATTGAAATAAAATCTTTGTTTAGGAACATTAAAGTTGATCAGAGTCTAAACTTTTCTCATTTTCTCATCTAGTGACTCTTTGTATGTGTCCTACCAGGATTATGGTGCTCTGCGCATTGGACTGTGCTGCTTTTTTTTGTCTACGAGCTCCTCTCATATCCTGGTTAATTCCTTCTTCAGCTTGCCGTTACTGTGGCTACAGTCACGGCTGTGTGAGAAGCAATTTGAGTACGTACACAGCAGCAGCAGCTCGCTTGTCTTTTTTAGCATGGATTTTCAGAGATCAGGGCAGATGATACAGAAATGGAAAAGTGGGGAAGCGAAAGGCAGCCACAGGCAAAAGTGTGGAAGGAAACACAGAGATGAAACAATATCTGAACAATCTTTTCTGCCTTTTCTAATTTAGTTAAATAAAGGAGAGGCAATAGATCTTTAAACGGCTCAAACAGTGGATTACATCAAATGATCTTGTTTCAGTCTCAATGCAACCACCACAGTGTAATCTGTTAACACATTAAATTGGAAGCAAAATAACTGACTGGCTGCACTGTGGAGAAGACGGTAACTTTGTTGTTTTGCAGCAAGAAGCTCCTGGGTTCAAATTCCTGTCGGTGGTCTTTCTGCATGGCGTTTGCCTCTTTTTCTGTGCTTGAATGGGTTTTCCCTCACTACTCCAGTTTCCTTCGACAGTCAAAATGGTTTCTCTAAATTGGGTGAAAGTGTATGTGTATGTGCATGATTGCATGTCTGTGTGGGTCTATGTTGCCCAGGTGACCTGTCCAGGATGTACCTGCGAAAGGTACTTCAATAATCAGATTATTGAAGTTTATGTTGGGTAAACTTCAATACCCAATCAACAATGTGGGAATTGGTGATCAATGGATGGACGGATGGATTATTCAAAATTTATTTTATTTTTTTTTTTAAACAGAACAATTTTGCAATACATTCATTCCTTTTGTCATTTAATAAAAGTTTCACTTTGTCTCACAGACTGAGAAAACAGTTTTCATGTGGAAAATGTTTTTTTTTTTTTTTTTTTGTCCAAATAATAGTCATTTTCCACTAATAAAAAAATTTCCTCACCAAATAATGCCATGCTTGGCATAACCAGGTAGTTCTAACTACCCAGTTAAGTGTGATCATCAATTTAAAAAGAAAATCTTGATGAATCCACTCTGGTTTCTAGAGAACATTTGCCGAGCCTTGTGACAAAATCGACATGCACAACCGATATACTTGTAGCTTAAAATCATGTTTGTGTGGAATATACATGGATGCCAACAGCTGCCTTGAATTACTCAACAAACCACAAGCAAATCTGACCAGCAGACAAATTTGTAATCTCTGAGCCCAGAACACAGGGCTCATTTCCTTTTGCCAGAGCGCATCCAGCAATTTTTGTCCTGTAGCAACGGAAGGAAATTCTATCACGGCAAAGTGCCAGGGCACCCTTTAACCTTTCTGGCTTTAGTATTCTCTCAAAACCACAACTAGGGGGTTTAATGTATGGAGCAGCTCTTTTTTTTCATGCTTTCAGTTGGCTAGAAGCAGAAAGGGGCCCATTAAAAGTAATAGGTCAGCTCAGGTTATTCAGCACTGGAACACAGTGCTGGAGGAGCTGATAATGACCATTACACTGAGTTAGCCACTCATATCACCCTTCCCTGACAGTTCGACAGCAGGCTTTTAATACTAAGAAGATAATTTTGCCTCTGACTATGATCCCCATGACCAGAAATAGAAGGACCTCATGATGTCGATACACCAAGAACTCTTGACAGGTTGCATTTCTGTGCATTATGATAATGATGAGAGCGGAAATATCTCGCACGAGAGGCGTTAACCGTTTCGGGAGAACAGGACGCAGCAATTACCTTCTTTAGACGTCCACTCCTGGTACCCACAAAAGCAACACAGTAGCCATTGTAGACATAGGAGGTCACAGAGGTCATGCGGTCCCGAGTCTCAGTGTAGAGTGTGTGGCCGGTCACCAGCTGAGAGCCGCCAAGTGGCTGGTTGATGTCCAGGCCGCAGAAGGAGTCATCGATGGGCACAGGCTGCCAAACAAGAAGGAAAGCTGTTAGAAAATTAATTGTGAAGAGAAATTAAAATGAAAATCTGAATCTGAAAAAAATGTCAGACAAAAGTTTCAGTGTTTGAATGACATGAAATTTCACATTAAATAAAATGCCACAATACTTCTTATCTAAGTGAAGTCTGACAATGTTAGCCGATTACTTTATCTATTGAAATATGCATAGGTGTTTTAACATTAGTCCACCATGAGAATCAGAAGCTAACTGGAACACCAATGTTACAGAACCAACTATATTATCAGATTTGGGGCTTGATCTCTAATTAAAAACATACTGTGAGATTATAAACATGTTTTTCTTTGTGAAAATGTGAAAAGAAAATTGAGCACTTTCTTCTGTTGGCTAAATCAGTCTGTACAATTTATACAGACTGATTTAGAAAAGCAAAAACTGACTTGTCAAAATCTAGACTGGAAACTTCTATACTGATTACAGGTTGTATCATCTCGTGAATTGAACGCATCGTTAAACTAAACAGAAATCTCAGAATTAATCATGTGACTAAAAATGCATATAATAATAAGATAGTTGTTGGAAATTATTCATAGAGGCAAAACTGAAATACAAAGCATTGTAAAAATGAACTTTCTATGAGCAAAAAATAATGGGCTGAAACGAGAGTAAAGCATGATGGATAGGCAAAGCTGTGGAAACAGTGTCAGACTGACTTTGGGATAGAAGTGAAGAGTGACAGAGAAGCTTAAGGAAAACGGAGAGCTTGAATTACATGCAAGTTTGCCTTATTATTATGCCTGAAATATGTACCCGCTCCACCTGACTGAGCTCCACCTTGCTCTGAATGTGGCTCATTACCCTGACCTACCATTACTTCTCTGCAAGAAAGCACACTGTGCATGATAATTGTTGTAAATAAGACTCTGATTTTGTCAATTATTTGGAAAATATCACTGCAATCAGATCTTATTTAACTATGCCGAGTAGGAGGGGGGGGGGAATTAAACCTCTCTCTTCTACAGTCTAGATAAATTTGCAAGATCAGTGGTGATGAAACAATGAAGAATGGGAAGGTAAATGAGAGATAAGGAAGTGATGTTTCTGGTGTTGAATCAGGTCAGCTGACACAGTTTGAGTGTCAGTGACCTCAATGTGCCATGTGGAGTAAAGTGAGACATCCAACTGAGCCCCCCACCATTTAAACATCCCATAACACCCTCTGAATATTCATCCCCGTGCTCTTACACCAACTCATTTGTTCCCTTTCTGTCAATGCATCCATCTCTCATCTGCATCCTCTGTTGCTGTCTTTGTTCTCGTCAGAGAAGTACAATTTATACAGACTAATTTGAGTGGCATTTCCATTCATGGGAGGCAAATCAGCCTCTGCAAACACTTTCTGCACACATTTTCAAGTGCAATAATGCTGATGATGAACAAAAACCTCCTGTATTGTAGTTACAAAGCTTGCTTTATTGTTTTCCTTTTATTTATTTTCTCCAAAGGCAAATTTATACCCGGTTTGCTTTGCTGTTCACTCTACCATAAATCCTGTGATGTAAATTTCATCATCTGTACACAATGTGTACATGGCCGACAGCAGAAATAAAAATCCACTTCCAAAGGGGGGTGCCAAATATGTAGCAGACAATGAAATCCACAATACTTTTCTTCTTCTCCAAACAACAGTTGACAGAACCAGCATATTACTGTCCACTTTGACTCAACTGGCACAAAAATTGTATGAATACAAGTTCAAATATTTTACAACTTCTAAACAGTCTCTCTGTACATTCATGTACAGAGAGAAGTAGGTGCAGGCGATGGCTGTACAATTTTAGCAAAACATGGGATTGCAATATTATATTTCCATTTGGTGTCAATAATGAATCATTGCAATATTTCTAACAATAAGCTCTAAAACTTTAAAATCAAAGATTCAATACTCAAAATCTTTCAAGTCTACATATGAGTTTCACTTCTAAAATAAGAAATAAAAATTACACTTTTTCACTGTACTTTAATTGTTGGAGCTATACTTGTAGAAATATTTTGGACGACATCTTGAGGAACAGGTTTCGTATCCAGACTTTCAATTCCTTCAAAATCAAACAGCTCCTCCACATATGATCTGTTGGGATCCAAACCATTTGGTTCCGATTAGCACTAGATTGTACAGATGATGTACACTTTAGAGTCAGCAGTAAATCCCAAATCCCTCCAGACTCCATATGGTTGAATGTAGTTGTTCACCATCTTGCAGATGTACATATTTATTTATTTATTTATTTGGCTTTTCCCTGCCAAAAATAAAATAACAGCCTTGCTTCCTGAGTAGAGCTGTAGTTAGACTAAATACAGACTAACCTTGTAAAATGAACCCTGATTAAAGCACGGTATAGCACTGATGTGACAAAATTTGTATGTGGTTAGAGCTTGGCTGAGTTTAAGACAATTCCATTTTAGAGGGATCTAAATCAAGGGTCAACCCTTTAAAGAATTTTAAGAAAGTTTAGCAGCACACTTGCTTTCAAATCCAATCTCAGGATCAGCATTATCTATCAGCGTCTTTCACCACTGATAAATTCAATGGTAGCACAAAAGCAAAAAGCAAGACAAGATGATAGTGTTTGTCAGTGAGGAGAAACACACTCAGACAGACGGATACAAAAAAATCCCATCTTGAATCTCCTCTGTGGGATTGACTACAAAGATGGCATGAATCTCCAGATGGCAGAAAGCTGAACGGATGGGTGATAAATCTTTGATTGGCTGCTGTGTGTGTGAATCCCCCTGGTTCAGCCACAGCTCCATTCCCAGCGACAGCCATGCCAGAGCATAAGCATACTTGCAATGCAACGTGTACAAAGAGGATATCTGCTGGGTGTATAATTAAAGCTGTCCACTTTGAGCTTACTGGCTACCTGTTGTTAGCAACAAGACGAAGGAAAGGCACACAGAAACACTGTGTAATTTGACTGTTTGAGGCACAGTTAACAAAACCACAAGGAGGAACCTAGACCTTAAATGGAGGGTCTGGCCAAGAATAATTTCATGTCAGGAGGATTTTCTGGATTGCAATCATTTTGACTTTAATAATACAACTAAAAGATTTGATAATGTAGTGCAAGCTATATCTGATAAAGATGTTGAGAAAGGAAAGGCTCACAGTGTAGCAATATAAGACAATAATAAGGCAGGAATATAAGGCAGCTTATATTGCCACAGCATAATCTCATATACAAAAAAAAGGAAAATAAAACTTTTGTTTGGGTACAGTTAGGACAAGTCATATTTATCTTGTCATCATGCAACATTAGGTGGATGGTCTGAATTGCAAAAAAGATGTCCCTAAGCTCACTCTTATTGCAGCAAGAAGACACACCTTGGTATCTATAACAACCAATAGATGTTGTCTACATACAAACTGGTTGTTTGGGATTCATGCCAGAAAAAAAAATACTTTTCTTTAGCCCATCCTCACAAATGCAAACATGAGAAATTTGCTAAACTCTGCTAGGATGTTCACTGGAACCATGTTCGTGGTTTGGATGACATGAGAATTGAGCCATTTGGCAACAAATGGGTCCAGTGTCTTTGATGTAAGATTGAGATTGAGAAACCTAGTGTAAGATTTGCAGCAAACGACATTATCCTCAAGAACAAAAATAAAAGGATGGATTCCAAACATACTACTACATAAAACCAGAGAGTCACTCTGTATGAACCTCCAAACTTTAGAATAAAATATCCCAAATTTATAGTTGGTTTACTAACATTTGTGCCTGCAAAATCAATTATTTCTTAACCTGAATTTTTTTTCTCCACTAAAATATGCTCACATTAAGGGTCAGCTTTTCTAAATTTTTTCAGGAAAGTAATGGTGCTGCAACAAAAAGGACTTAATTTTAGGGCTTTTTACACAACTTCATCAATGGGCAACAGAGGCACCACGCTCCCTATTCATTTGACGAACTATGTGAAAGAGGAATTTCTGTTCAACATGAGCAAGGCTGACATATCTGGCTGCTAAAAGCAGCTTGTAATGATTTAAAACTCCTGTATCTGTCGGCATCTCTTTGCATAATCTATAATACACTATGGATTTATTGGCTGCTCATCGAGCATGAGAGCACAGTTTAAAGGAGCATGTTTGACATTTCTCTCGTCTCTCTGGCAAAACACACACAGAGGCCATGTAGCCTTTAATCCAAGAGGACAGCAGAACGTCATTGGCAGTGCATGCCTGCAGGATGGAGTGGGAGGAGCGGGCCTTGCAGGTAACAGCTGGCAACAGTCAGCGCACACTGGGATGATTGGGGACTCTTCTGGGAAGGTGGAAAAACGCTCTAATTCAAGCTCTGGCGGATAACAAGGCTCACAGTCACAGCACTGTCACCACTGAACACCTTCTTACACCCACTTTGCTGCATGCAACATCCTTTTCTTCTCAGCAGAGCTAATAAAAACCCAACCACCAGTTTCTTAAGAAAATGTCTTACTCCTCACAGCTGACATTGTGAGGTGGAGAATTTGTGGATTTTAATGAGAAAGATCCATTGGGCTCTCTAAAGGGGATTAGCAAACAATGGAGATAATCGGTGGTTTTCATCACAATAAGCGACACAGACATCATTAAACCTGACAATGCACATGTGAATGGCCAAGACTGGCAAGAAATTCTGTGCAAATGCAGACATATAACATAAAACAGTCAGTCAGAAGTCATTAATTCTTAATAATCTTAAATTCCTATTAGTGGGTAGCGGAGTGAAAGCACAGAGGACTGCAGCCTCCTGGGACCAAAGGAGAATCAAGGAACTTAATTCTACTTGACAACATGTAACAGATACACAGCCTTTTTATTATGGGATAATTAGGAACTTTAGAGGGAATGGACTGGTGTGTGATCTACACCAGCATCATAAGTAGACGAATTGGAGCAGCCCCTAGACACCCTCCCTCTTAAATCTTCCCCCAAACACACACACATGCATGCACACTCTCCATTGAGTAGAGCATTTATTTTGACTGCGCTCAGAGAAAATCACTTTGATGCTTGTAAAGAAAAATAAAGCCTGCGTAATTTATGAATATGTCTCCCTGAAATGCACTTGAAAGTGGATGTTCCCTGATATCAGAGCAACAAAACAATTTGACATCATTACAAGTAGTGTTAGAGTCATTTGATAATAGAAAGCATGAAATGCCAGGCAGTCAGAAACATTTCCGGATGATTGCTGTGTTTATTTTTATTACAACAAACGCCCCCCTAAAGGCACTGTGCAGTTTAGGCTCACTGAGAAACTTAATACATTCTCTTACAGTTTTGTATCTTTTATCAGAGGAGTAAACCACTTCAGATGTAGAAGTTGTTTGACAGCTCCAAGACCCTTTACTAATTTTGTAAGTGAACTATATTAGGAAAGTACTTATACCCCTTATTCCCAATATTTCTCACAATAAAACCATAAACTTCTCTGGGATTAACTATGATAAACCAGCTCCAGTTGTGCATTATGTTGAAATTGAAATGATAGGATAAATGATTTTCTGCCTTTGTTTATCATTAAAATATGAAAAGTATGGGGTGCATTTGCACATCTGGGAACTGACATTTTTGTACGTTTTACTTTGCAATGTGGCTCTGGCTTGGTCACATATAAGATCAGTAAATACAAACTTTTAACCCTTTTCCATACGTAGATTAAATTTTGACTGTTCAACTCTGAATTCTAAAATTAATATACTTAATTGTTTTATAGTAGCTCTGGAAATGAGTTTAGGCTTCTTTTCCTGCTGGAAGGAAAACCTCTCACATGCTTTCACAAAGAGGTTTTCTTTCCAATAAGAACAAAGTCCTCTATACTCATGTTTAACCATGTTTGGCCATGCAGACGGTGTACTGGGTATGTGTCCAGTGTTAGTTTTGTGCCAAACAATAAGTCTTTCATGCTAAATTTAACCTCATTTGACCAGCGTATCTTCTTCCATACAATTGCACTTTCCTCAGCAGAAAAACTGCACACATCAATACTTATGGCTTTCTGTATTAGTATACTTTCTTGTCACTGTTCCATAAAGGCCAGATTTGAAAATGGCACAACAGTTGCAAACAGTTGTCTTGACAACAGATTTTCCCGCTTGAGTTAATGATTTTTCCAGCTGCTCCATAACCATGATCCTTCTGGCCCATTCTGACTCCACTGTTTAGATGACTTCTGAAGAAAACTAATAGCACTGGAATTTTTATTTAGGGTAGAAGAGTAAATGGGACAGCCAAAAAATGCCAATAAAATACAGTAAAGTCTGTGGTTAACATTTTCAAAAGTGCAAGGGGTATTAGTACTCATGTGAAACTATTTAAATGACCATTTCAGAAAATAGTCTCACTTAAGAGCGCAAAATAAACCTTCAGTAAACTAATGTAGCTTTTTCCACAAAGACTTTCATGACCGTGATCAGCTAAGAGATGAACCCAGGATGAACGTTTATCTCCGTATTTTTGTTTGTAAAGTGTGTGTTTTCATAAAGAGCAACTCACCGCTTTAGTGCACTGCACATCCTTCCCAAGGAGCCAGTTGAGCTCCAGGTTTCCTTCTCCCTGATAGCAGGACTGCAGGCGCTCCTTGATTCTCGCATTGATGTCTCGGATGGTGAAGACGCAGAGCGCTGAGTCATCTGGTGGTCGATGGAACTGTTTCTGGCCCTTGGAGAAGACTGTGAACAGCACATCATCTTGGACACTTAAGTTGAGCGAAGCAGCGAGAATGCGCCCCGGCTTGCCGAGGTAAGCAGCCTGCAGCAGGCGATACTCAATGCCGTTCTTCACACAGCCGATGGGCAGAGAGACGTAGGAGTGAAATTTGCGGTCATCCTTACAGAGACGAACAATGCGGGACGTGTAGAAGAGATCGCTGCTGGATCCGCTTGATGACATGCTGTTCTCCGGTGTCTCTGGCTGAACAGTCAGGAAGTAAACAAAGCTTCCACTTGCAAAGCCATAAACATAGTAGATGTCAAAGTGTGAGACAAGCGCTAGTGTGTCTGACGGTATCTTTATAAGAGAGGACACAAAATCAGTATGCAACTCGTAGTCAAGCATGGCAGAAGATTCCGGATCACGTGGCAACTTTCGGCTGGAAAGAGTGGGAAAATAGTCTTGTTTACCATCCACTGCTGTGCCGATAAAAAGTGTTGCATCCTGGCCCTGTGACGGCACAATCACCCCATACATGGTCCCTGTCTGATTGACACTGGAGAGGTAGTGCTCCTTCTTGTGGGAAGGCTCCACTAAGATAAATAGGTCATCCAATCTGAGGAGTTTACACACACCTTGGTAGAGGCTGCCACAGGCCAGCAGCCGATTTTGTGAATAATCAATGAGGAGGAGCTTGTTGACATTGTTGGTGGGTACAAGGGGCTCAGAACAGGGCTGTACAATTAGAGGAGGGTAGCAGGCCTTATTGTCATCCTTTGGGCCTGTATCATGGGAAACAAGGAGGGTGAGGTTGCCTGACAGCTTGTACACACGGTTGACTGCTCCAACATATAATGCACCAGTGGCTTGGTGAACAGTCAGGTGATTAAAAACCCAATCTCGTCGTTCTGGGTGGAAACTATTGAAGGTCTGCCCATCTGTGGCAGGAACCGCTAAAAGCCAGAAGAACAAAAGAGTCGCAACTGCTCCCATCTTGGGACAATGTGTAAAAGTTCTGTCTTTGACCTTTTGACCATCCATGTTCACTTGTCCTGCAAGGAAACCGCTGAATAAGCAGACAGAATGGTTTAGAGGAAGAGAAGGGTGATCGTTGCCTTTTTGTTGATGAAGACCAACTTGCGGGTCGAACTTTCACAAGAACCTTCACATGTTTCTGAAAATAGAAAATGAGAAAAGAAGAAGTTAGACATCTCAGCAAGAGTTGCATTCAAACAAAGAAACTCATGACCAGTATAAATGCTCCGCATTAGAAGGGCAAAGGGTTGCAAAAGAGGTACTGGGTTGAAGAGGCAATATGTGGAAATGATTATGGCACACATTCAAAGCAAGTTGCTGGATAGGGCAAGACAATGCAGGAAGCACATTCAGGTTACATCACAGGAAATTAGCCTGACCTGACTCATACAAACGATGCTAATGTCGCACACTGGCCAATCAGTTTCTAAGAACAAGAATGTGGAACAAAGACGCAGCCCACAGAGAGCCTTGGACACACAGCAATGACTCACTGCATTTTACATCACCATCAAACACCATCTTACATCTAACCTGGATTCTTTAATAAGAATTGTATAATACTTAGTGTTAAGTTTTAATTTAGGCATTCATCCATGAAAAAGAAAAATTTGATGACTATAAAGTTGTGGTGATGACTGTATAGTCTACAGTAACTTACAAAGGTATTTCCACCCCTTACATTTTTTTTCTACATATTTTATATTTTTGATTCCAGCCCCCATTACTCATATCTCTTAATAACAAACAGTGAAATGTTTGCCATTAATAAAAGGAGTCATTTTCTCTGTGTAAAACACAACTGCTCTTTAAAGCCACCAGAGGTTTGTTAGAGAACATTAGTTTACAAATAGCATCATGAAAACCAAATAGCATCATGAAAACCAAGAAAAGTGACAACATTTTCAAAATAAAGTAAAAGAAGTCCAATTTAATATTTGCCACAACCAATTAATTTTAGGGGACACAAAAAGCATGTGAAAAAAGGTGCTCTGGTGAGATAAGACAAACGTGTAACATTTTTGGCCCACATGCAAAATACTGTGCAAGACTGAAAATTATCACGGCGCTTCACCCTCAACACACAATCCCCATGGTGAAATATAGTGGTGTCAGCATCGAGCTGCAGGGAAGCTTTTTTTAAGCATTCCCAGGTCAGCTGGTGAGAGTTGCTGGGGTGTTGGACACACTTAAATACAGGGCAATAATAAAAGACGCGTTGAACTCCGGTCCCTGAAGGCCAGGGTTTCCGAAAGCTTTTAAATGTCTCTAATCCAACACACCAATAAAATCGCTAAATTACCTTCTCAGTATGCAGTTAAGTTCTACAGAGTCCTGCTAATGACCTGATTATTTGACTGGCTGTTGAAGCAGAGCCACATCTAAAAGTTACAGGTACTCAGCCCTTGAGGACTGAATTTTGACAGCCCCGTGTGAGGTCCTGCAAAAGATTTGAGACAGGGGTGAATATTCACCCCTATGCAGGCCAGCATAGAGACAAACCAATTATGGAATGAATTGGATAAAAGCATTTTTCAGTTTCAGACTGGCCCAGTCAAAGTCCACATCTAAATCCTGCTAAATATGTGTGGCAAGACTTTAAAATGAGCAATCAAAGCAGCAAAGAAGAATGAGATAAAAAATTAGGCCCTAGGTTGGGATAACTGGTAGAAACATACCCCCAGAGGATTTTACCTGTAATTGCAGCATAAGATGGTTCTAAAAACCATCGACCCGGAAGCTGAAATTTAAATGCACACTTTAAATGAAATTTAAAAGCATTTCTCAGCTTTTTACTGAGAAATGCAGTAATGTTGTTTTCATTGGAAGAAAACAACATTCTGAAAATTCTTAATCTTTTTCTTTTCACAGAACAATTATGTTACATAATGTTGTGTTCAATCTTTAAAAAAAATATTTGAGGTTTCTGGGTGTCAGGTGACAAAATATGAAAACAATGGGTATGAACATTTTTGTAAAGCAAAGAATGTTGAACATCAGTTTTGCTGACTTAAGTTCATATATTTTCTTGCAATTTTGAACACTTCATTTCAAACAGAAATCAGAAAAGTCTTCATTTTGTGACATTGTGCTTTGATTTGGCAGCAGGGATGGTGCTCCATGTGTGCAATAAACCAAAAGATGGAGCTCTATGTGGTCTGTCCCTATCAGTTAATTATCTCATCCATTGGAAGAAAATGTCTGGATCTTATTACTGGAACAAACTGAGAACAAATTGGAAACCACTTCTATGCACACTTTTCCTCACTCCTTGACCTTCACAAGGCACAATTTACAAAATTAGAATCTATTAATTGCTCTCTTTTAAACACTGCTGTTTTTTTATCTTTTTATTCCAATCTTTGCTTGTATGATTAGATAATAAAGGGATTAATCACCACTGCAACAATCACGTACAACATACAGTCAAGTGTGAATGCATGCATGTGTGTTTGTGTCTCATCTTGTTCCCTCCGTATTATCAGTGCACTCTATCAGAACTAGGCAGTGTGAGAGGCTAACAAGTGGAGAGAATGGCAGTGCATCCCAAAATCAACTATGATCAGGCGTAGCGATCCAACAAGGGTAATTACTGTGGAGCTGAGGGAGGTAAGCTGGGGAGCGACATGGGGAAGCCAAGGGCTGGAACGTGTCAGAGGCGGCCTTACATCATTTGTCACGCTCCAGATTTGCATTTGCCGCCAGCTAGGGCTAAGGGATTCAAGGGTGAAAGATGTGGCTGGAATAATCAAGCCACTGCACCTTAAATGAACAACCGCTTGGCACTACAAGTTTGAAAGCAAGGCGATGTGGATGGGTATAACTGATGTGGGATTCCATCAGAATGATGTCATAGACCTTGCTTTAAATCACATAATGGCCATTTCGATGTCCCCATCCTCTACTTCTATCTGTGAGCACACTGCACATTTCCGTTTTAAATATAGACCCTGAGGAAGTGTATTGATCCATGTGTCCATAAACACAAGTCTTAAGGCCCAATCAAGCTGTTCTTGGCGTGCGTATAGGCGGAGGTGTGGGAGGTACCGTATCCCAGAGGCACTTTATTAGCATGGCCATAAAAGTGTCACTGCCTCTAAAAAAAGGCAGCAAGAGGCAGACCCTCACTCTCACTTTCTGCTGCCTGCATGCTGCTACGCTCTTTTGTGTGAGTTTGCACAAGCTGGATGTGCAAAGTGGATCCCGTTGGTGGAATAATGAGCCTCCTGCTGAGCTAGCTTTTTGCACAAGCCCCACTGCCTTTTGCTCCTTGGGGCTTTTTTGTTTTTTGCTACACCCTCCACCCTTAATTGTATGTGTGTTCAACATTTACTCCCATCTATCTCTTCTTCCTCTCCTCATTATTTTGGTCTTCCTCCCAAGTCATTGCGAAAAATAACCGCATCATGTTGAGGCTACAGCTGCACAGACATAGAGCGTCACAAATAAAACGAAGGCTCCACCAAGGTTGTCCATTCATATTGCTTTCAACGACATGGGGAACAAAGTCTTTGTTTAAGTTGATTGCATGACCACCTCTTTGTTGCACATGACATGGACTTTCTCTGTGCTTTGCAGCTGTGGAGCAGACGTGAAAAGAATAAACCCAATACCGGATCACCCCTTGTGCTCTATACTTCAAAGCCGTGTCTTTGTTTAGTTTATTAGGTGTCAGAGTTAACAGAGATGGACATTAACATATAAATGCATTCAGGAATGATTCATAGATAAATACAATCATCAACTAACCTCAAAAAGAAGAGGGCATGACTGTTGCTGCAATAAATACAACTATTGTCTAGGTAGAAAATAAGGGAGAAACATTTATAACTTTTAATGGGTAATTTAAGTCAGAAGCCTTAAACTTTTAGCAACAAAAGCACCTTTTTCTTTCCTATTTCATCTCTCACAGCAGTTGAGTCACAGCAATGCATCTATACCTCTAACAACCAAACCAAACAAAGCTTCTCAAATCGGGTTAGTGTGGAAGCATCATGACCTCAGTTATTTTTTTTTTTAACCTGGTAATATAAATAACAATCTGTCTTTTTGTAAAATAACACATTCCTGACATGCAAAGAGTCTTTTGTGCAAAGTCCTCTGACAGAAAAGCTCTAACATATATGGACAATGACATTTCCTATTATAAACTGATTGACAAAAAAGACCTGCTAATGGAAAAACACTGAATGGATGTGTGGCTGCTTAATGGCAACACAGAAAAGGATGGAGTGAGCACTCCTACCTTCCTCAAAGACATTTTATGTAGGAAAGGTTAGTGAGTTTTGTGAACATGAACAGATGTTTTGCATCAAGTGAAGGAATAATCCATGGCTAAGGAAATAGAACAGACTTTATATCACAATAACAACATATAGAGTCAGCAAACAAACCATTGAGATAATGTACATATTTGTGAGCATAGAGTTCAGCTGAAAAAAACTGATTTACTGTTTTTATGTGTACTCTGCCAGTAAAAATGTTTGCTGACATCTACAACTAATATTAAATAAAATCAATAAGCGGCATCTCAAAACATTCATCCTCCAAATTACACAGTAAAAACAAGTGCAGGAGCAACTCATGTTCAGTTTTTATTAACTAAATGAGGGGAAAAAATGTATGTTGTTGTGAAAACACTAAAATAAACTGACTAATTTTGAATGGCATGACAGGCAGTGTTCTCAAATGCTGTTTGGACAACAATATAACTAAGCCTTGACAGATAAAGCATGCCCTAATTAAGGTTTGTAATGCAAGACTTCCAGCTGCTTCCATTCACATTTTACATTATCCCAATAAAACTCACTAGTATAAAATATTCTAGTTAGGAATATCCTGGAGGAGGACATATCCTGGTTCACATCAGTGTTAAAATAACAAGGTCAACCTCAGATTTCAGATCAGTTTTAGTCATAATAAGCTATTCACGTTTATGGAAAACAACAACAGACAAGATTTGCCACAGAGCATTTTATCTGTGGCATGCTGGATTTTTAGGTCTAGATGCTGATATCTGCCAGATATTCTTCTAAATTTGACATTCCTTAATAGACAATTTATCTCATTGAACTTCACCTTATGAACTCACATCTGACGTTCATGAACTTGCTATTAATAGTTTTATTTGGGATTGCA